GAGAGAGTGGAAGAGAGAGGGAAAGACAGAGAGAAACATCAATGTGAGAGAAACACATTGACTGGTTGGGGAGGAGCCTGCAACCTAGGTATGTGCCCTTGACCGGAATCTAACCTGGGACCCTTCAGTCCACAGGCTGACACACTATCCACTGAGCTAAACTGGCGAGGCCATCTTCACTTTTAATAAGAGAAGCTCAAATTACAGTACACTGAGATTCCATTTTTTCATCATCAGAATGGCAAAATCCACGTTTGATAATACACTGAGCTGGTGAGACTACAGGGAAGACGGGCTGACCCACACCGCTGACAGGTCTTCTCGCAGAGAGCACATTGGCCAATAGCTGCCCAAAGCACAAATGCACATACCCTTTGACCAAGCAATTCCACTCTGGGAATTCTTCCTAATTGTAATTCATGCATGTTGCAAAATGATGCACATGAAGTATAGCCAAGGTATTCATTGCTCTCTTAATGGCTTGCTGGGTGACAGAGACCAATCACCTCTAAAAGGGGCAAGGGGCTTAAACCAAACGAGATATGGGATGTGTAAGAGCCTGGCAAACTGTAAAGTGTTGTGAACACGAGGAGCTGCGATGATCAGGGAGGCCCCCTTCATCCAACGCCCACATAGGCATGGCTGAGGGCCCAGGCGCAGGGCTGGAAGGAAGAAGCCTCCCTCTGGAGCCCCCAGAGGCAGCTCTGTGGGAGTCACTCTCTGGCAGCCTTGCTGGGAGGTGGCGGCGGGGTGTGTGTGTGTGTGTGTGTGTGTGTGTGTGTGTGTGTGAGCAACACTGGCACTGAGAGGCAGGGTGATCTTCCCTCCCTCTCCTCTCTTAGCCCTTGGTTTCTACTTTTGGCAGGAGTGTGCTGGGGGACTTGGCCAAGTTCCTCACCCGCTCTGTGTGCCTCCACAAATTGTTTCCTGTGTAGCAGTAGGGTGAGCACACACTCAGACCCCCCACCCGCCCCACCCCGCCCCAAACTAGCTCCTGACCTCAGAGTTCACAGGCAAGTCGGCCAAGACCTTGGCAGTAAACAGAATACCACCATACACTGTGACACGTGACAAAATAAGACACGTACGCTGGTCTGATACATGGCACACATGCCAAATAGCTGAGAGGGCTCTGATGTCAGAAAGCCGTCTGCTTCCTGTGCCTCCCCAGCTGCGGGACCTCGGGAGTTACTCTCTCAGAGCCTCCACTTCCTCAGCTGTAGTGTGACTCGTCAGGAGACTAGGGTTTCTGCACTGGAAGTATTCAGTGCTGTGCCTTGAGCACGTCACTCAAGCTGTCTAAGCGATGTGTATTACTATATGCAAGGGGGTCGTGAGAAAGCAAACAGGACACTACGTCTGCACGGCAGTAGGGGCATAACAGGAGTGGCTGGAGCAGATGCCACTTAAGCAGGACCCTGAAGGCCACGCACATGGTGTGAAAGTATCCAGGGGACTCTGGCGTCACCTACCAGTGTTAGGGCTCATCCCCACATATTCCTTTCCTTTCAGCCCAGTAGCCTGGGCGGGAAGAGGCTTCACATTATTTGGTGACAAATCAAGGTGAACAGATGCTCCACCATCCAAAGGAATTAGGTCTCCGCCGTGGTGACTGCTATACATAACCCATACTGTAACGCTGAGTCAAAATGGGAGCCTTGAAATTCGACTGACAGTAACAGTAACAAGGATAACATTTACTGAGAGCTTCCTAGGGGCCAGCACTGTTCCAGGCATTTTACGTGACTTCATCCTCACAGAGCCAGGATTCACGCTGCGGCCACTGGTTCCGGAGCCCAAACGCTTGTCTGTTACTCCCTAGGCCCCCTCTACCTTTCCCATCTAAAATTTCTGCTGGAAAGCTGTGACAAGATGCTCAGGGAGCCTGAGAGCGTTCTGAGGAACAGATCATGGCAACAGAACCGTTAAACATCATAGTTACAAAAACACTAAATGCGGTTAGGATTCTCTCCTAATTCAATTTGCATTTTTTTAGACCAGAAACTCCTATGTGAATGCAATAGCTCCTGACACACGAAACATAATTAGAGAGTGGGGAGGGGGGGAGCTGACACAAGTAGCAGGCATAAATTTAGCTTCCAGTGACATTCTGGATGTTCCGTTATCAGGGCGGAAGCAAAAGCAGTGAGGGAAGACAGATGCCCGGCTTCCAGCCATTGGTTCAGCTCAGGCTCTGGGATACAGCTGCCAGCCAGGCCCTAGAAACGCTCTGGAACCCATGGACCATTCTGTGACTGCCGCTCCAGCTGGAGACCGAGGGTCTTCTCTCCTCCTTACAACGTCCACTCACCCATCTGGCCACAATTCTGCTTCCTAAGCATTTCCTGAACTAACCCCGCACCCCAACCCTTTGCCTCCCACCTCCTCACCAGCCTCTTTCCTTTCTCCCTCCTGCCTATTACTGCCCGGCCAGGAGTGCGTTCTGAAGCTCAGATCTGACTGTAGCACATACCTGCGCCAACATCTCCGCCAACGGACTACTAAGCGGTCATTCATCACACAGGAAGCCAGGGACTGGTGGCAGGTGTCTAACCTGGTATCACCCCTTTGGTGGACAATCTGGTAAAGTTAAAACACTTTGCCTCTGACCCAGAAAATCCATTTCAAGGAGTTAATCCTACAGATACACTGACAAGTGTGAAATGACTGTACGAGATAGATTTCAGCCTGGCCTGTAACAGCAAAGGGCTGACACACCCCAACAAACCGCGGAGGACTCTAAGCCAAGGTTCTCACACTTGAACACACATCAGATTCACCAGGACGGCTTGTGAAAACAGCCTGCTGGGCCCACTGGAGTTTCTCATTCAGAATTTGCAGTTCTCAGCCCATGTAACCCGGTCGGCACGGCGAAGGCCATGGCGCAGCTGCCCGCTGGGGTCAGAAGCCACCATGCTGAAGGCGCGTGGAGGGTGCTAGTTCGGTTCGGCCCCAGGCCCCCTGCCCTTGGGCTGCCGGGTGGAGGGTGCACCTGGCTTCCATCTGACCTGGGGTCCTCCCTCCCCTCTGCTCCCCTCCCCTCCCCAAGGTCTTGTCCTCCAGCCGTCTGTGGATATGCCATGGATGTGCCATCCAGGAACTAGTCCGACCCAGCCAAGACGTCCCGCCCCTTCCACGCTGCTCAAAGATTACCAGGACGTTCTGGAATTGAGAAGGCTGATGTCGAGAAAAGACTCTTCTCTTTGGAAAAGGTGAACCTGAAGGAGAAGCTAAAAACCAAGCAACAACAATAAAAATCACACACACACAAAGGTCAAGCAAGAACAATGGATGAACAAGGTTGTGGCAAACCCTGAGGACACCAGCGCCCTGAAGGTCCTAAGTGTTGCCTTGATGATCAAGATCCGCAATTATGAAGAGCACATGTGGAAACATGGAAGGGACACAGCCCCCAAGCGCTACCTGCTGATGAGCACTGCTCAGAGGAAAAAGATGCTCAAAAACCTCCCTAAGACCAACGACAGTGTCTTGGAGAAGACGTGCAAGGAGCTGGGGACCAAGTCTACCTTCCCCTCTGTACTACCGAAAAGCCCCCGCAGCTGGGTGACCAAGAAGGCTCTGAGCAACTGGGTTTACCGGGAGGTTAAAAGCTGAAGAAGCAACAAAGGGCTTTAAAAGCAGCAGCAGCCCGGAACAAGGCCAGATGAACCCAAAGAGCTCTTCCAGAGGCAATCAAGGAAAACCAATACATTTTGTTCAAGTTAAAAAAGAAAAGAATTTGCATTTCCCACAAATTCCCAGGTGGTGCTGGGTCATGCTTTTGGCGTGCAGGCAGGACCACCGCTCCATAGGTACTGATGTATTTATCACCAATATATATTCAATGAAAAAAAGAAAGGTGCAAAAAAGTGCATATAAAGTATAACAGTTATATAGCAAAAGTGTTTGGGAAAGCATGTTTATTTGTAAGGGCACAGAATCTCCTGGAAACAGGTAACAGGTCTGCTGCCGCTGGGGAGGGAACGCGGGCCACTGGTCGGGGAGGAAGACTCACTGTGCGCCCCTCTGTTCTTTTGGAATTCTATACCATGAGCGTGTACTACCCTCCCTCCTTGCCGTAGGACAATGAGGTAGATCCATGAGTGCTGACACAGGAAAATGACCAAGTCAATGTTAAAGAAAACACACACACACACACACACACATTTAAGTTGCAGAGCATTATGCCCTATAAATCCTAATTTTTAGAAAAATAAAAATTTACATATGGATATACACACGGGCACACACATATCTATAATAATAAAAGCGTAACATGCCAATTAGATCAGACAACCTTCCAGACGAAGCTGCAGCGGTGGGGGCTGAGGCAGAGCCGGCCGCCATGGTAGCGTGGGCCAAACCCTTTGCACGAATTTCGAGCATCAGGCCTCTAGTGTTTGTATAAACACAGAAAAACGTTCTGGAAGGTTACACACCAAACAGCCAACTGGGTTACTTTCAAGGAGTGGTGCTGAGAAGGCTTTTCCTTTCGTTTCTGCATGGTTTGAATATTCCCCCCAAGAGCAACTGTGCAGTACTTTTGTAACTATGAAGATGAACTGTTGCATCGTCCTCAGGAGTCAGTACCTCAGAAAGCCTGTGGCTCCCTAAGCATCTTCTTGTCCCCCATCCAAGCCCCTGTATGGGGCTCACATCGCACTACTCCCGTCTCCCCTGTGGTCCCAGGCCTCCCTCTCTTCCTGTACCTCCTGCTGCTCTCTAACCCTCCACGCAAAGACAGCTGCTGTCAATTCTAGGAGGCACATCAGCCTTCCGTTTAGCTGGCTGGTCGCACATCTGTTTCTCTTTGGTGACTGACACTGTGAGGGCAGGGCCTGGCCTTGGTACCCTGGTGCCCAGCCCAGGGCCTTGCACAGAGCAGGAGCCCAGTCCCGTTGGCGGAGGGGCTCCTCGGAGTGACAGGCTGGGCGCCTTTGATGGAATCTGCTGTGCAGCTACTGCTGGGCCTGAGGTCTGCTCTTTTCTGGGAGCACAGGTCTGACAGGGATGGGCACCCATGCCTGCTTCTTCCCAACACCCTCCTGGACGCCCCACTTCCTTCTCCTCCTCATTTCACTAATTGGCCTGTTACGGACAAGTTGGTCTCAGGGAGAATTCTGTCCTCACATGCCCTCTCTCAGCTGGCTTTGGGGTTTAACACCGATGGGAAATCAAAACTCTTGAGCCCCCATATTGACTTTCCTCTCTCCCTGCCAAATGACTGGGGAAGCATGACTCAGGGCAGAAAAAGGAAGTCATTTGGCCAGCCCTTTCCCTAGGCCAAAATGCCACTTGGGTATCATTTAGGGGCACCTCCATGGGATTCTATATTTAGGGGCACCTGTGTATCAAGGAGAGGGCCCCGATGAGGACCAGCAGCACCTGGTTCTGTCAGTATTTGGCAGAGTGATCTTGAGAAGCCAGTTCTTTGACCCTCGGCTTCTTTCTCCGTATAATGGGATAATAAAACGGGCCCTGCTCGCACTCGGTTGCTGGGAGAATGAAGGAGGGTGAAGGCCTGGTAAACTTAGATTATCCTAGTGGTGGGAGGCTACTAAGTAAGGACCGGGCCCTTTACAACTTCATGCACTGTCTTCCAACCCCTGCTGTCCCACAGATGCTGGGGGAGGTATATGAGGCGACAGTGGATCTAAAGCTCTCTTCATCCAGACCCTCTGCTCCAGCCACCCCATCTTCTAAACTGTTTCGCACCCCTACTTACCTGGTTCCCTCATTCCTAGAATGTCTTCTCAGCACAGAATCGCCCTGCCCTGCCCCAGGGGTCCCCAGCTTTCTCCTTAAACCCTGAGCACTACCTGTAATGCAGTCACAGAGCTAGTTATTCCTCCCTTGTCCAGACACCTAAAAGCCCTGGTCACAGGGCTCAGAACCACTCATCTCTGTAGCATCCCCACACCCTAGACAACGGTGCAAGTTCAGGGAATTTTGTTGCCTGGAGGGTGTTTTCTGAAGAGATCAGTGATCCCTATGCTGAGAAACTGCCAAGAATTGCTCAGTTTTGGGAGCCCCTCAGATGAACTGCCCAGCGTACACATGCTGCCCCTCACCTCCTAGGTCCTGGTCTATTTCAGAACCTCTCCCTGCACCAAAGTGTCTGCCAGAAAGGCATTGTTAGGGGGGCTGATGGCCACCTGAACGCTGCTTAAAAGGGGCAGAGCAGAAAGGTAAACGGGGCCAACCTTCCTGACTATGCCCCTCGGCATCTGACCACAGAGAGGACCAGCAGTGGCGCCATTGCATCTTGGGGAAGAAAGGTGGCAGCTTCAGCCACTGCTCCAGTTGGGTAATGTTTCAAGAAGGCGACGTGAGCAGTTTCAAAAGTGGCAGTTGCTCTGTGGGCCTGCCCTCTTGGGGTAAGGCAGCTTCCGCTCAGGTTCAACTTCAGGTCTGGGTGGGGAGGAGCGGCGGGAGCTACAGAGCAGGAGGCTGTGGAGGAGGGGATTGGGTGCCGGGAAATGAGAAGCCATTGGTACCGTGGGCTAGAGAGGGCTTAACTTAGGGAAGGGTGGGGGCCGGAAGAGGAGAGGTGGAAGGTGCTGGGTTCTCCCGGGCGTCCCATGGGACAGGGGCTGAGGAAAGCCAGGGATGCCAACAGCAGCTGTTTCTCAGCAGGTAGGCCATTGGTAGAGGGACTGCCGTGGGTGCATAAAGAGAAAGGCCACTTCGGGGTAGGGTCAGGGCCTGGGGTGGGAACAGGGTTTAGGCTCAGGTAAGACAAGGTTAGCTGGTTGTCAGGGAGAGGGAGCCAGTCAAATAAGGTGTCTACGCCTGGTTAAAAAGGGGGGGCACCAAGTTGCCAGCTACTGAGGGGCTGGCCGACTGAAACTGGTTCCAGAAAGTGATGTGAAAAACTGTAAGCTGGGGCCATCCTCCTAGGTTTTTAAAATTACTATTATTATTATTATTATTATTTTTGAGGCAGGGACCAGGGCCTGATCTGGGGATTGTGGGAGAGCACACTATAGGCCACGGATTCCAGTTAGACAGGTCCGAGTCCAGGGCTGGGCCTGGACGCTAGACAATGCCCAGGCCCTGGGATGGGGTGTGGCAGGGCTCCTGACAGAGGGATGACACCACCTGGACCACTCGGGAGTCCCCAGGACCAGCGCCCCACCAGGGGCAGAGCGGGCTGATGCGGAGCCGGGACGGGGTGACGGTCTCAGGTGGGATGAACAGCCAGAGCAGAGGCTGGGCTGGGTCCATTTGGCTCGGAACAATCAGTACGGGAATCGGAGTGAGGGTCGGCTGGCAGCGCTAGAACCCAGGCCCTATCCGGGGCAGGACCAGAAGCTGGATCGCGGGACGGGGCCCCGCGGGTGCAGCGCCCCAGGCCATCGCGGGAG